CTCAGTCAATTGCTGGTCACTTAAAGGCACACAGTGAGGAATTGCTATTCTCAGATTAAAGGCACACCCCTGGCGTATGATAGGGGCTGACATTTTTTCTCTATTTAAGCTTTAGAGATTTATGTTGGTATTTGGCTAAACACAGTGAAAAAAAAGTGCACAGGGCTTCAAACACAGCAAGAATTGTCTAAAAAAAACTGGATCCAGAACGGTCTTCAAATTTTTTTTACTGTTTAAAATGAAGGGCTGGTGGGAGCATTGGCTGTTTCCTGGTGTTCCATGGAACTGCATTAGAGAGAGTAGGTAGATCACTCTGTGTGTCTTGTGAGCTAACTTGGTATCCTGTAAACCCTATCCCTCTCTCCCTTAGACTTTGAGCCACTAAACATGCAAGCAAAGATTGACAGAGGAGACATCAGTCAGTCAGTCACCGCTGGTGGCTCAGGGAGTGATTTGGGCAGCAGTAAGTCAGTGCACAATTAAAAAGTCTAGGAGGGACCATTAAATGCAGCAGCCCCTCAGGGTGTCATCACTATACAGGTGAAACTCGAATAATTAGAATATTGTGCAAAGTTCATTTATTTCACTAATGCAACTTAAAAGGTGAAACTAATATATGAGATAGACTCATTACATGCAAAGCAAGATAATTCAAGCCGTGATTTGTCATAATTGTGATGATTATGGCTTACAGCTCATGAAAACCCCAAGAACCCCAAATCCACAACCTCAAAAAAGTAGATTATTACATGCAATCAATGAACCAGGATTGTACATAGAACAATATCGGACCTCTGAAAAGTACAAGCATGCATATGTACTCAGTACTTGGTTTGGGCCCCTTTTGCAGCACTTACTGCAATTACTTTTGCACGATATTCTAATTATTCGAGTTTCACCTGTATATATGGGTTTGCTAGACAGATAACAAGCTGAGTGAAAATATTGCTTTCCATTTTACCACCTGTTCCAATAAGATTGAAAACAGTTTATAAAAAGTGTGTGATTTATGTTCAGTTGTCTTTTAAATAAGGTTACAATGAGTGTCATAGGTTTTCATAGAAGCAAGTTAAATATATTTGGTAAAACATAATCCTTTTAAAACACAGTTGTAAGCATTCTATTATTTAATCCTAAGTAAACTCATATTGTGTTTTCCTCATCCCAAGATTGCAGCAATTCAGGTCATATTTGTTAATTACGATAATCCATCTGCTTTCAGCTGACAACATAATTACAAATTTAGGAGTTTACTGTTCAGCTATTCCGTTTACCTAAATAGGGATTTATTCTGCATTTTATAAATTGTAATTTAAGAGATTAGCAGCTGTACAGATGTTTACGCTGTAAATAATAGTGCATTGCAAAAGGATCTTCAAACACTGAATTTTACTTCCAAAACACAATGTGCTTGGCTGATTGTTTTAGAAACATAATTCAGTGCCAAAACATCAGTGGCAGCACATCACGCTTTCCCGAAATTAAAAATGTGAAGCACTGAGATATTTTGGATTCTATCAAACTACAGACAAAGCAAAAAAACTCATAGGCATGAGTACAAGGCAGTTGACACTCACATTAATTAAAGATGTCTACATAGGAATTCAGCAATCCTGCTCAGGCTAATTGTTGAGCTGCCAGACCTCAATTTTGGCTAATACTGATGTCCAACAAGAGATTGCAAAGCCAGCAATCAGTGTGAAAACAAAGTGACCAGATCGGATGAGTACACTAAGCAGGGCTTATCCACTCTACCACCTATCATTTCAAAATAAAAAATAAGGACAAATTAGAGAACTGCAAATATCAGCAAACCCACAAAATAATTCTCACTTGTCCTGATTAAAATTTCAACCACAATGGCAGACCACAGATGTAGACACGTGTACTTTTTTCTCTATCATGGCCTGTCTAGGGCTCAGCAGTGTTCATGTGTTGTTGTGCTCCTCACTCCTGAATTCTGTACTTCAACCCAGATACATGTCCATTACATACCACAGCTGTCCTGGGCATATGTGCCAAGTTAATCTTGTGTTGGCCTATATCCAATATACCTGGCCTTCGTGCACACAACATAATTTGGCATATGGACTTTAGAAGATAGGTCCTGGGCAAGCTACAGTAGTGTGAGGGTAGATTTAACTGCACTGGAGGTTTTGAGAGAGATTTGATCAGGGGAGTGAGGGGTGGTTTATGGGGTTTTACTTGCAGTTAGTTCCTTCTTAATTTGCCACCCATAAAATGTAAACCATGCTCACTTACAAATATTCACTTCTGCCGGAACTATAAAACTGTAAACGATTTTCCAAAGTTGAACTATACAGTTTATAAGGTTTGTTTTTCTTTGTAATTTTCCCTTTGTCATCTTGCACACTTGTATAAAAGATGGCATGATGGCAAACATCATGGCAAACTCATTGCAGTCTGCCAAACTTGTTTACTTTTCCTCACATCTGTGATGTCTATTTATAATCTCTTATAAGCTCGCTTACAGGTTGAATGCAAAAAATACCTGTCATGGGAGCATAAATCTGTTTTGGCTGTTTTGTCCCATCCTGAAAGTGCTCTCCCAAGTGTTGCAGAGAAGTCATATTACGTTTGGAGGAGCTTCACTCAGGAGAAACCAGGGTTAGAGTAAGAGCGAAGGCATGAGAGCTAGACAGAGTGGATGGTGACTGGCATCTATCTACGACTCCTGGGCTCTCCTTGAGGAAGAAGATGGCACTGTAGCAGCCCTATGCAGAGCCCCATGATGAAAGGTTATCAGCATTGCAATATTATTTTCAAGGTATATATGTCCAATTATTTCTAGTAGGGCAACAACTGGAATTTCAATAATCTGGACACAAGTTTGTTTTAATGAAGAGTTGACTTTCAGCTGTTTTGGTAAGCTTGTGAAATCCCAGCATAAAAAATATTTTTTTGCATAGTAGTTTAATTGATTAACACTACAAGAACATTTGGTACTTATTTACAAGTTCTAAATTAACTTCTGTATAGCTGTGCTTTCATCTTGTAAAAAAATATTTTAAAAATACAACATAATTAATATGACCTAAATTACACCTATTTGAATGAGAATTTAGCCAAACTAAGAGGTATATTTATAAAGGCCGCATTTACCAAATTAATAATGGGGACTGTATTGTCACCCTAGCAATGCAATAGAAATCTGCTCCAAACGTTCAGCAAAAATGCAGGGGGTGCAGCAAATGTGAGTGATGTAATACAAGGTGGTTTAGGTGCACACAATCTTTGTACTTTTTTTTTTCTTTCAAACGATGTAGCGGAGTGTTGTGAACAAAAAGGCCTCTCCAAGATGGTTACAGTTGGTTAGTAGTAAATGAATGCTTGAACACCCCAAACTGAAACAGCTTGAAACACTCATAAAATACTACCTGTGAAATATAAAATGTAATCTTAAATGAATGCCCTATCACCATAAATTTAAAAAAAATAAAGAAAAAAATACCAATGAAAACCCTACAATACCACCCTCAAGCAGAAAACATAACTATTTAACCTTTAATTAAGGCCCTATCAACATAAACCAATATACTACCCATATAAATGAAAACTCAAAAATACCAACACATTAAACAAAAACCCATTTCTTCATAAGAAAGCTTTGCAGCAAAAAAATAACAATAGATTTGCTATGGGCGGGACAGCAAATAAAAGGGACAGCTGACCTCAAATTTACCAACAAATAAAAAGGAAAGACAAAAAATCCCCAATAATGAAAAAAAGGCAGCCAATAGGTTGATACCCCAAAAGGCATGCAATCAAATTTAAAGCCTAGTTTTAAATAAAGTTTCCTAATTTACCCTAATCTCTCCTTATGCAGTTTGTCAGCATTCCCTATGCTTTCCCTGCAACAGCTTAAAACTCATCCCATTATTGGCTCTTGTAAGCCTGTTGGCCATATTTTAAAGGCAATGCAGTGATTATGGTTTTAAAAAAAAGCTTCTGGGTGAATCTGAACATAAATTCACTGGGACTGGTGCAGTAAAGCAATAGCAGATAATATGATTAATACAGTGAGTGAATATACTACATAGCTGACAATACTGTAATTATAGTTGCAGTACAAAAGCAGGATCCCAGAGGACCAGGGGACATGACTCAGCTGCTTAATCTATAAGCCAAAGAGTAAATAAGATGCAGTATCCTTTAATAATTATCAGTATTAAAATTTTCACATCTCTGAAAAAACTGAAGTTACTGTATACCATGTTTCATATAAATTAATTGGAGCTGGTCAGCACAGAAATCCAGGGACAAAATATCCAGTGACAAATCTTTGAAACCTGGGACCTTACCAGGAAATTTAAGTCAAACAGCAACTATCACAGACATTTCAGACTGATTCACTTAAAGAAACTACATCTACATGTAGTTCCTTATCCTTTTATAATTCAGCACAACATGTAAACATGGGATGGTGATTTTTCTGATGTGACTTGTAAATGATAGTTTTTAAATTCATTTTCATTAATCTTGATATTACAGGAAGCGACTGCACAGGTTTCAAATCACCCAAAGACTTGCAACAGCTTTTGATGCAAACATAACCTGTCAGACTGGAAGATGAGCATCTCATGTCTATAAGTATCTTAAAGGATTGTATCTTAAGTGCACTATCCCAAATCTGGTCTTGCCTCCTCACCCCTCCAGTAACTTTGAAATGTTACTGCAGTGCAGGGCTTTAGATGAAGTTTCAGCAATCCTGCCTCATGCTCAGAATTCTGACCTCTCACATGTCACTGGAGGAACCAAAGAGTGTACATCACAGTTCTGAGTGACAGAGCCTAAGGCCACGTTATAGAACCTACATCTAATGCATGCTTACAGTACTGCAATCTAATAGTTGTATAGGAGGTAGAAGCAGGAGTGCACTTAAATGTTACTTAATAAAAAATCAGCAGGATGGGGCACTTATCCTTTTGCACTGCACCTATTTATTAGCATAATGAAAAAGACAAAAAGTTGATAATTACCTAACATGATAAATGGAATGCCCAGGAAAGTGGAATTGTATTTTCCTCCCGTGAGATTGATCATTCCAGCAGCGGTGAGTGTGGATAAAGTGATAGTCACCAACCCAAGCAGACCAAGCCATGGCTTACTTCGGACACAGTCTTGCATGGAGCAGCACAAGATGGCCAGTGAGAGCACTAGGATAAGACTTGTAACCAGGTAACGCTCTGCAACCCCGCTGGTTTTCTGAAAATCTTCTCCTAGAGATGAAGACGTGAAAGGGTACATCTTGACCTCTCTGTTTAATTTCTGAAAGCTTTCTACGGTTTCACAGAAAATGGATTCCCACTTTTCAGCCACTAGTTCATTGAGGGAGTTGATTGCCTGCAGATAGTACGTGAGCTGAATGGCCTCAGCAGACTTAACCCGATCTTTGCTGTGCACAGTGACACCTCCCAACTGGTGCCCATTGTACACTTCTCTGCCATCCTTTAACTGTGTGATGGGATAGGTGATGACAAAGTTTGTTCGATTAAGGGACCGAGCGGCCTTCAGTTCCTCCAGAATATGTACTATATCATCCACTATGCAAGTCTTTTCATTGCTCAGCATGCAAATGTGCGCGAATGTATAATTAAACCCTGGACGGTGAACTTGAATCCTTTTCACTGCAGAGTGCAACTACAAAGGAGAAAAACAAACCAGATAAAATATATTAATATGCAACAAACCAGACAAAATAAGAATACATTTTTTTAACTTTGATTTGATTTTTTTTTTTTAAAGTTAAATTACATGGTTTTTCATGATTATTCATTATAAACTGCATATATTTAAACATAGATTATAATCCATTATTTAAGTCAATATTGGAAGGAACAGCAAAAATTAAAAGAAGTAATTAATATTTTCAAATAAATATGACAATGTTTAAAGGAGGGGTCTAAAACTCATTTGACTCAGGGGCCACTCGACAATTTTTTTTCCCATGGGGGCTGCTCGCCAAATTTCATACTTTAAATATATGCCCCTTTTGCAGCACTTACTGCAACTTACTTTTGCACGATATTCTAATTATTCGAGTTTCACCTGTATATACAGGTGAAACTCGAATAATTAGAATATCGTGCAAAAGTAATAAAAGGGGCCCAAACCAAGTACTGAGTACATATGCATGCTTGTACTTTTCAGAGGTCCGATATTGTTCTATGTACAATCCTTGTTTTATTGATTGCATGTAATAATCTACTTTTTTGAGGTTGTGGATTTGGGGTTCTTGGGGTTTTTAACCCCCGCACACCCACATATAAAATGAAATAAAAATAAAATACAGAGCCCCCTCTCCTGCTTACCTGTGTTACAGAGCCCCCTCTCCTGCTTACCAGGGAGGAGGCTGTGAGGAGGCAGATCAATCTCTGGTGTTCTAGCGGTGATTAGTGAGGTCTGCTGCAGACCTCACTAATCTATCCTTCGGCCCGAAGCTCACAACTGAGATGCAGCCGAAAGGACAGGAGCAGCTCTGCGGTCTGCATCCGATAGAGATGCAGACCGTGTAGCTGCTCCCACAAGTCATGTACACAGTCACCGCATACCTGACTTGTCAGCTGGCTGCGGATCGCACAGTAGCTGCTTGCGGTCTGCAATTGGCCAGCGGGCGGTACTTTGAGACCGCGGGTTTAAAGGCTCGGTCCACCCAAAATGTATAAATCAGCTATAGATGGAATTTCCAAAATTCCCGCAATGAACCCACCCTGAAACTCCCGTTTGGGAGTTCTTGGTATTACTGCCCGAAATTAGTTCCCTGTGTCTTCCTGTTGCGCTCTTCAAAATGCTGAACCTGTTCTAAAAAATAGGGAGACTTTATAATAGTCTTACTAGTTTTAGACCTGGGAACTCAAGTGCGTAGATGTCACCACCTAAACCCCTCTATCCAATGTGTATTTTCAGTAAGGCACACAAACTAAGATTAGAAGGCACATCTGCATCCTAAAAGACTTTATTATGTAACACATAATTAAATTGGATACAGCTATAAGTACATCCTATTTTGGTAACCTAAATAACATTTTTTTTCTTTCATTATGGAGAAATTAATCTTCAAAGATCTCTCAAGTTATTAAAATTGTTCTCTCCCCCTGCTACCCGCTCCCTGCAGTGAATAAGCAGACTTACAGGCTTTTAATCTCCAATGTAAACACAGAGCAGGTGTTCTCGGAGTTGCCTGAGAGAACTTATTTAGTGCTCCTGCTGTGAACTTATTGTAATAATGGATGATGTTCCCAGTAGACATGTAAAACTCGTTTTGTTCCGAATGCATATTTTGACGAAATTTTGTGAATTCGGACCATCAGATGCATCCGAATGTCCGAATTCCAATCAGGCCAAATGCAAACGAATACAAATGTTCTTTTAACAAAATTTCGGATCACCTGGATTTCGTTCAAAATGAAACTAAATCGGATAAGTGACTGTTTTCTTCCCAATCAGAAAACCCCATCCAAAACTAAAATGAAATTCTGAAAGATCCGAATCATGAAACGAAATGGCATTCAGACGCAAAAGAACGAAAAACACGAAATTAAATGAAACTATTTTTTTCCGGCTTACATGTCTAGTTCACAGTGATCCTAAACTGACTGCAGCTATAGGGACTTAAAGTGATGTTAGTGTCAAAATGTTTTTAAGCTATTTTAAATGCAGATGAGATCACTTACAATGGATGCTGCTCCTTGATGTTTAAAAGTTTTAGTTTCCTGCAGAATCAGCTGGTCCTTTGAGCACTAGTCCTGACTTCTTATTTTAGAGTAACTCCTTTCTCAAGCAGAGTGCTATGTAGTCAACCTTGACACAAACAGAGAAAATCAAGCTACTCCCCACCCCCCTGGCCCTCTCTCCTCCCTATTCCAAGCTAGTAGATGAACAGTTGCTGGAGTCTGCACTGTCATTTGTGATCTCTTACAGAACAGGAAGTTCAGGGAAGCTGAGCTGAGAGACTTGGAAGTAGCTGTTCAGAAATATGATGCCTGTAAGTATTTTGGCAAAAAAGTAAAGCAATACTTTGCTGGGCAATGTATATTTCATTGATCTGGATTCATAAAAAAAAAATAGAGTTTAACACTACTTTAAAGTTGTCAAACAATGTCTGGTTCTCTGTCACATTAAAGTGTGTTTCTGCAGTTCCTGTCTTTGAATGTTGCAGCGCAAGTCAGTATGGGAAACTGATGCCTTATTCATAGGCTTGGATTCCCTTCTTGCTCAGCAGGGCTGCAAACTAGCTTTTATTTATGGACTGCTCAGAGGTTCGAAACAATTCAGTTACACTAGTAACGGTGATCAGTAAAGAACATAATTTAATGATGCTCCATTAGTAATATTATACTAAT